ATGTAGCGCGACTCGGTTCGTGGAAACGCTAGCGTCTAATCTTGGACGACTGTGACGAATCGGCTGCGTGGACCAAGGGCGATGACGCGAGCCCCGGGGCAAGGGTAACGAAAACGGAGGAAAAGAGACATCCGATTTCCGGTGTCGAGAAGCGACGACGATCGTTCGAACGAGCGCGCGTCTCGCGGTCGAATCACTTCCCGATGCGCGCCGCGCGTCGTCGCGTATGCCGCGAATTCGAATCGCGTCGCGTCGGTGGGAAGAATTTTGCGAGCGAATCGGATCGATGCGAAACGTTCGGAAAGGAGCAGTCGTGATCGGAGAAAGATCGGAAAGAAACGTAACTGGAGCAGAACCGACCGTATCCGACCACGTTACGAACGAGTCGCATCATGAACGTCGTCGTTTCCGTTCTCTCGCTTTTTGCCTTATACTCGCGAACCATTCGTTAAAGGGATTCACGATCGAGTACGAACATCTGTCTTTCGATTTGTACGTATTTCTTGAAAAACTCATTTCCGAAACTGGAAATTAAATTCGGTCGTTCGTTTTCCTTTTGAACGAAAATAAAGCAACGAGAAGCGCGTGGCACGGACGAAGCGTCGTCTCGTTCGTGGTTGGCCGAGAATCGATGAACGCGACGCGATACGAACAGTCGAGGTACTTCGGTAGCGCCCTCGGGTACACGCGGTTATAACTAATCCGAAAGTTTTCGGCGCTTTATCGACGTTCGCTACGACGTTTCGTTAAAACGCTTCGAGTTAGACCGTTCCAGCGGGCTTCGAAGCGAACGAAAGATCGAACGTTTTCGTTGGTACCGGAGTCCGCAGCGTTTATCGCTCGTCCGTTCGCTCGCGTTTGCGCTCGATACGACGTAAAAGATTGCGCGCGAAGGTAAAGAGAAACGAACGTGCTCGCGCGTTGTTCGGGCCAACGAACAACGATGGCCTCGGTTTCAGGGTCGTTTCGGCTATTATTCGCTTGCACCGACTTACCTCGCCTTCTCTTCGTTCGCATCGTTACCCCGCCTCGTTTCTCGCCGCGTCTTGTCTCGTCTCGCCGGTTACCTAGCCATGCATCCTTTCGCCTTCTTTCGTTTCGTCTAGCCTCGACTCGACTCGCCGCGGCTCTCCTCGCCTCCGCATGTAGCGCGACTCGGTTCGTGGAAACGCTAGCGTCTAATCTTGGACGACTGTGACGAATCGGCTGCGTGGACCAAGGGCGATGACGCGAGCCCCGGGGCAAGGGTAACGAAAACGGAGGAAAAGAGACATCCGATTTCCGGTGTCGAGAAGCGACGACGATCGTTCGAACGAGCGCGCGTCTCGCGGTCGAATCACTTCCCGATGCGCGCCGCGCGTCGTCGCGTATGCCGCGAATTCGAATCGCGTCGCGTCGGTGGGAAGAATTTTGCGAGCGAATCGGATCGATGCGAAACGTTCGGAAAGGAGCAGTCGTGATCGGAGAAAGATCGGAAAGAAACGTAACTGGAGCAGAACCGACCGTATCCGACCACGTTACGAACGAGTCGCATCATGAACGTCGTCGTTTCCGTTCTCTCGCTTTTTGCCTTATACTCGCGAACCATTCGTTAAAGGGATTCACGATCGAGTACGAACATCTGTCTTTCGATTTGTACGTATTTCTTGAAAAACTCATTTCCGAAACTGGAAATTAAATTCGGTCGTTCGTTTTCCTTTTGAACGAAAATAAAGCAACGAGAAGCGCGTGGCACGGACGAAGCGTCGTCTCGTTCGTGGTTGGCCGAGAATCGATGAACGCGACGCGATACGAACAGTCGAGGTACTTCGGTAGCGCCCTCGGGTACACGCGGTTATAACTAATCCGAAAGTTTTCGGCGCTTTATCGACGTTCGCTACGACGTTTCGTTAAAACGCTTCGAGTTAGACCGTTCCAGCGGGCTTCGAAGCGAACGAAAGATCGAACGTTTTCGTTGGTACCGGAGTCCGCAGCGTTTATCGCTCGTCCGTTCGCTCGCGTTTGCGCTCGATACGACGTAAAAGATTGCGCGCGAAGGTAAAGAGAAACGAACGTGCTCGCGCGTTGTTCGGGCCAACGAACAACGATGGCCTCGGTTTCAGGGTCGTTTCGGCTATTATTCGCTTGCACCGACTTACCTCGCCTTCTCTTCGTTCGCATCGTTACCCCGCCTCGTTTCTCGCCGCGTCTTGTCTCGTCTCGCCGGTTACCTAGCCATGCATCCTTTCGCCTTCTTTCGTTTCGTCTAGCCTCGACTCGACTCGCCGCGGCTCTCCTCGCCTCCGCGCCGCCACCCCTCGCCTCCCGGCCCCGACTATATACCTTTTCGTTCTTTACCGCGCATCGTTCCCTGTTATCCCAACCGCTCGTCGTACCTTCGTTCCGCTCGTAAGGACGCGACTCGTTCAGTTCGAATCGTAAATCTTTCCGTTCTCGGGATTTTTGCGATCAAACTGTTTGCGTCGAACGAACGCGTAAAAGCGCGCTCGCGTTTTACGTTCGACGTTTATGGATGCGAGACGTTCAACGATTCGCGTCGAAGGTTACTTTCCAAGGATCGCGTCGAATTACGATTGCAAATAACGAGCAGAAACGTTGACGTTTCCGCGTTCGTGCGTTGCACGAAATTCTAGTCGCGCGCTCGATCTCGAAGCTGCAGGCTCGAGGGCGCTGCTTTTTAGCGCGCTGGCGACATCTACGCGAAACGAGCGTTCCTCGGCGACCGACGTTCGACCAAACAGTAGCCATAACGAGACGCGACGCTTTAATGAACAAACTTTTCGTAAAGAGGGATGAAACGATAATACTTTCAACGTTGCCATTTCTTTCCAATTTATTCGCGATAATCGTTTTTGTAAATACTTCGATAAAATACATCCTATATCGATAACGCTCAGAACATTTACGGTTCGAACGAATTTCCCGCGTGTCCGTAGAGGCGATTTAAAGGGACGAACACCGGAGGTGTCGGCTAAAGAGTGTCGCCTCTTGTTGTGTCTTACTTTCTGACCGAAGTGAACGGGATCGGAGTTGGACCAATCGGCGAGAACCACATGGTCGAGCTATACGGAACTGTCGGATCGCGGGTCGAGCTGGGTCGACACGACGTTGACGCGTCGTTTACGTCAGTTTACGTTTAGACGTAGATCGAAGCGATTAGTGGATACGCGGGAGCATGACGCGATTGATCAATCGAAGGAAACTGTTCGCGAAAACATGCTGGCGTCGCGCGGAAACTTGGTTTACGGATTCGACGGAAAATCCGTGTACGTGAACGGGACGAAACGTCGAGAAAATGCCAGCGACGTTATGACGGCGAATCGTATCGTCGCGTTTCTAGTGTTCGCGTCCGGTGTCGCGGTTGCAGTCATCGGCACCCTGTTGTCTCAATACATTCGCGGTTCTTTCAAGGGTTTTCCAGGTAGGACAATGTCGCGAGTCGTCTCCTAACCTCTAACGACAAACCGTAAGCTCTTCTTTTCCTCTTTCAGATTACGACTATCGCCATGTATTCGTCCCGTTGCCCTCGGAAGGTACGTTGGACGTGTACGACGAAGCGGATACCTTGGACGTGGCGTTGCCGACGTGGTCTCAGTTGGATCGACTGGAAGCCCGAGACAGCGCGAGGACCACCGCCGAGGCGTTAACGTCGTTGCACTTGGCGCTCGAGATGAAATTATCGGGAAAGCGAAAGAAGGCGGTCAAATTGTTTCGACACGCGGTCGCTTTGGCTCCTCGCCATCCGGATATCTTGAATCATTACGGAGAATTTCTCGAGCACACGCAGAACGACGTGATCAAAGCGAACGAATATTATGTACGGGCGTTGAGTTACCAACCGAATCACGAGGGAGCTCTGATAAACAGTCAGAGGACGGCTCGCGTCGTCGAAGAATTGGATAGGCGGATGCTCAGGCGCATAGACGAGAAGAGGAACGCGTTGTCCGCTATACCGGATAACAACGCTGCCTTGATTCGCGCCAAAAAGGAGGCTTACTTTCAACACATTTACCACACGGTTGGTATAGAGGGAAACACGATGAATCTCGCGCAAACCAGAGCCATAGTCGAAACTCGTACCGCGGTCGCTGGCAAGAGCATCGACGAGCACAACGAGATTCTCGGGTTGGACGCTGCGATGAAATACATCAACGCCACCCTGGTCAATCGAGTTGGCTCCATTTCCATCAAGGACATACTCGATATACACACGCGCGTACTGGGACACGTGGATCCCGTCCAAGGCGGTCAATTTCGACGCACCCAAGTGTACGTCGGTGGTCACGTGCCTCCCGGTCCCGGTGACATACATTACCTGATGGAGGAATTCGCGATGTGGTTGAACAGCGAAAGGGCTATTCGAATGCATCCGGTCAGGTAAGCGAGAAACCGTCGCGAAGAATGGTCGCGGGATCCTTCTTCTCATTCTGCTTCGTCGTTTTCAGGTACGCGGCTTTGGCGCATTACAAGCTGGTGCACATACATCCGTTCTCCGACGGTAACGGTAGGACGTCTCGCTTGTTAATGAACATGATCCTCATGCAGGCCGGCTATCCGCCGGTTATCATTCACAAACAACACCGGCACACCTACTACGAGAACCTCCAAATCGCTAACGCGGGAGATGTCCGACCGTTCGTCAGATTCATCGCCGAGTGTACGGAGCAAACGTTGGATCTGTTCTTATGGGCTACCAGCGAATTCTCCAGACAAGTGCCGGCTCTCGGTCAAGATACCCTGTTCACGGAACGACAGGACACCATCGTTTTGGAGGAGGACGGCAGCGGTCAGGATGATTTCGATAACGACTGACGTCCGTTACGGTGATTCGTAGCAAAATGTCGCGCGACACCCTGTTAGTATTTTTTCGACCAAAGATTTTTTTCGCGCCGACTAGATTCGTCTGCGTAAATACGTTTTGTTTCGCGTGTAATTCATCGATCAGATAGCGTCTCGCTACCAATATGCTTCCGTTCGTTTCACTTTTCGTTCCGGTCTACTCTGTTATATACAATTCGCGTTAGGATAAAACGCGCGGACATTTACGAAATCCAATCGAAGACTGTGATCTAACGTAAGAACCTATGTAAGAGGGAGTATATTTATCGGGAGGGGGGATTTTTAATCGTCGGTACATCGATCTTGTCGCAAAAGATATCGCGCGCGTAAACAAATTTTACTTGCTGGCCAAGTAATTTGTCGTACACGAAAGAACGTAAATACGTATACGGTTTTTAATAAACACGTTATTTTGGAAATCATCGTTCTCTTGTATTTTCTTCTTCCACCGTCTATATCGATACAAAGTTGCGCAAAAGTATCTGTGATTGGTACGCGAAACGGACCTGCCATTTTTCGTATTTCGTATCGATTACCGCATCTTCTCTTTTACTATTTATTAGGCAACAGAGGATAGAATCTCTTTATCTCCGACTTACTCGTTTTTCCGCAGGAAGCGTAAAATTCAGGAACGACCGTGCTTCGCCTTGTCCCCTTCGCGTAACCGTTATCTCGCAACGAAATAATAACCGCGTTGGCATCTTTGAACGTCGAATCGACGCGCTCTCCGCGTGGATTAGAAGGCTAGCTGTAGGAGGCTCTCGGCTTCCGACTCTCGTTACCCGACCCGTGAGCTCGCGCGATGTTGCAAATAATGGCAAGATAAAAGAAACAAGATCATTAAACGCACGACTTCTACGAAACTTTAATTTTTTTTCTTTTACTTCTAATAAAACATTATCGATGCCTCGTCGGATAAAATAACGATACAGAAATGGTTCGCGCCGACCGTTTGAGCGCGATCGATTAAAATACGTATCACGAGTGAACAGAATGCTTTGCGACGCTTATGCTAGGTGTGCAAATTTTTTTTTCTCCTCTTTATACGCGATACAACCATGTGGCTTTTATCTATATAAATACATTTCTATAAAAATCGAATTTTGTCAACGAAATAAGTCGACGATCCGTCGTTTTATCTCTAATTTTCTCCACGCTCGTTCTCGCCGTCCAGCGTATCCTTTTTCGGCCTCCTTCTGCCGAGACGTCGCTCGTCTTCGCTACCGCGGTACGATTTTCTCGCGTCCTACGAAAAACTTCGTTCTCTGTTCGACGGCGGAACGCGAATCTTCGAATCACTCGTAAAATGCGTTTCTCCCTTTCTTTTTTTTCGTATAACACTGTTCGTTCGATATCGCACCTTCGTAAAAGTAATGAAAAAAGAAAACAAAAATGAAATCAAACGACAGAAAAAGAAAAATCGTTGCTATATCGATAACAAATCCACGAGGAAAAAAAATAAAAGTACAAGAGCGTAAAAAAAATATCTAAAGCGATTGGAAATAATAGAATCTAAAAAAAAAAAAAGGGAAAGAAGAAGAATGTCGTAACGTTTCTTCTTCTTCGGCCGACTATGACTATACCATCGAAATCGGATGCAATTTGGTTGATGAAGGACACACCGGGAACGTATAAAATAATAATGGCGCTCTACGAAGATCTCGTTCGGCGATGGATCCGTGAATATCGTTTTCTTTTCGTCCGACCTAAGATATCCGAAATTCCAGCGGCGATTTTCTCCGTCGAGCGTAACCGGGTCCTCCCGGATTAGGAACGTTGAGAACGTCGATCGCAAAGTGCCGGTCAATTTTCTTCGATCCAATGACACGAATAATCGATTCCGCGATAAAAGGAAATAAATAAAAACACGCGTGTCGGAAGGCTGCGATTAAACGGCGAGTCTAACCGCGATAAGTGTCCAGCGAATCGATCGCTTTTCGAATTACATAGATACGCGCGTAACGAGTGTTTATCGTTAGATTTTATTCGTAACTTTTGGAGGGAAGGAGCGATCTTCGCGCTTCGTACATTTACGCGTTCGTTTAAAACTCGTGTCACTGGTATAGCGAACGGAAAAGCGTTTTTTAACCTATTCTTAACGTCTGCGTTTCGAAAACGTTCGAAAGGTAATACCTTTGTATCGCATACTTTCCCTTCTTTTTCTACATATTATACGCGAACGTACGCGCGCACATGAAGAGACAGTTTGCGCCATTTACCGTGTACATACGTTTACCCCGCGTTCACCTACGAATCTATATTTGTCTTCCAAGCCTGCGAGCCGTGATACGCGGTAAGAAGATGAAAAGAAAAACGTACGCGGGTAAGGCAAACGGTTCGCGCTTTTATCTGTTCGGCCGGGCGAACGCCTTGGCTCGGTTTCGAAGCGCGAACCGTTTACGATATTTCGCAGCGATTCGAGACGAGAGGCACCGCGCGAGAGAGTAACGCGCCTCGGATCGAGTCTCGAGACGCGCATCCACGGCAAGATTAACGCGACGCCATCGCAAAAGAACGGGAAGTCTGGATTAACGATAACGGGGTAAATCAGGCGAAAGGGAGAACGAACAGAAAAAAGAGAAGGCGATACTCGGTTCGCGAACGAATGGACGGTGATCGCGCGACACCCGTTCTCGTGGACTTACGCTCTCGGTTACCTTTACCTCTCCGCGTAGGAACCTGTTCGTGTTCGAGCGATTTCGGGCGGATCGGTGAGAAGGGCAAAAACGGAGGAGCAGACTCGAAAATTTACGTTCTCGAAACGGAACCTAGCGGCGAGCAACGATACCCGAATATTACGGTGGACGCGTAGCGATCGAGTAATCGATCGGTCGGTAATTTGGTCGTATTGCTCGTCGTCGCTCCGCTGCTCTCCCTTCTCGCTCGCTCGTCTCCTCCTCCTTTCCGCCCACTTATCTGATCTTTTTAAACTGGTACGCTCTATCTCTTTATCTCTCTTTCTCTCCCTCTCTCGCAACCTTGATGTTCTGCGCTTCTGTTTCTCGCTTTCGTAAAAAGGATATTATCTGACTTAATTATATCGCGAATTACGGGTTCGCGTCATCTTCTGGCTGATCTGCTCCTCTTGCAACAGCTGACCACGAAACTGACTGACCTGATCGATCGCGGCGTTCAAGGTGTCGCGTTGTTGCACGAGTAGTTGTTCCCACTTTTGGGCATACGCTGTAACAAACAATAAATTTGTCAGTAGTCGTCTCGCTGTTGCCAGCCTCGTATCGCGACGCCGGTGAGCGAAAAAAAATGAGTCTGACAGTGAATGCGTGAACTTGAAGCGAGTCGGAATGAATCGGCATCGTCGACGATCGAACGCGCGTCGTATTCGATTTGATCGACGAACCATCGGGCTCCGCTGTGTTTCGTTTCGAAACAGTTCGCGATTCGAGCGTGGAACGATCACGGACGATCCTGAAACGACGAGACGCGTCGACCGCTTGATCGGGTCGTTGCGTCACAAGCTATAGTTGGCGTACGAGGGAACGATATCGTTAGATCGAAAATCCATAAAAATAATATATATTTATTAACAGTTCAATTCGTGTACATTAACAGAAAGAAAATGACGCGCTAAAACGTTCTCGTCGACGAGGAGAGCGAGAGAGAATTTGCGCGCGGATGAATGGTGATTCGTTCGAAGCGCTTATTCGAGAGAATGGGGGAGGGTTTTAGTTTCGTTCGCGATGTCATTTTTTCTTTTCGTGAAACGTCAAATATAAAAGCGTGATCGGCGTTTTTGCATTTTCTTGCTTGAGCGATAGTTTAAAAACATGTCGGTTAAAAGCGTTACGCGTTTCAAGGATTTCATTAGCGTAGATGCGGATGCGTTTTAATGGCACGACCCGTTCGACGATCGTAAACCGTGAACGAGCAATTAACATCACTGGTGGATATTAAGGGTGGTAAGCAGCTTTTTTACGTGATTGCGAATCGAATGATTTCGTACCGTCGGAAAATTGTTTTCTCTCTATCAGACGTCTACGTAACGAGAACCTCCTCGGGTAGGGCGACTCAAACTTTGCTCTTTTCCGTCTCAAATCTGCAAGGGTTTGTGACATTACGTTCAAATGTGTCGTTGTTGTGTTCTTTGTTGTTGTTGTTGTTGTTGCTGTCGTAGGCGGTAGTAGTAGTTGTTGTTGGTCAGACCGCATCCTTTTACAGCTGCTACAAAGCAATGAGTTTCGCGCGAGAGGCGCGCACCACGATAACGCGAAAACCTTGTTTCTTGTTCCTTTATGCGTACGTTCCTCCGTGTATCGTCACGGCACTCGCTTCTCTTCGTAGGGACATTTCGATAACAGGGAATTCCGAATTCGACTTTTCGATCGAAGATTTTCCACACGCTCCGGTCGTGGATCGGATCGTTATCGTCGCTAACGACAAAAGAGATTTCTACGTGGATCGATCGCGGCCGATCGACGCTGACATGGAATGTACGCGATACAGTTAGGGTTTAATCCTTAAAATAACGGCCGATCGATTCTTCGAACTCGACGAATCACGCGCGAATCGTTGAGAGTAAACCGATCTATCGTCCTTGGGTCGGACTTTGTACGTAAACGAAAAAGGCGACGTACAGGGTGGGCAAGAACGAAAAAAGGAGGAGGTTTCTAACGATCAGGAGCAATAAATCGCAAAGTCCGAAAGAAGATGATCGGTCAACCGATGATGGGCAGTGCTTGGGAAAATACGACGAGCCATCGGAAAGGGTTTCGCAAGGAATTTCGGTATCGTCGACGATTCGTCGATCGTTTTCGAGTTCCGAGCATCGGAAAGTCGCGAGATCGTTTGGTCGATCGCGCGTCGCGTCGCGTTCGTCTTTACAAAGATTCGCGAAGCCTAACCCTCGACGATCGTTACGTTTCGCGTTCTCGTTACTTTCGCTGCTCTCCTCGTCCACGTTTAGATCGTCATAGAGAATCAATTTGCTTTTCTTCGTAGCCTTTTGTTCGTCGAAAGCTTCGTAGTTGTAATTGTAATTCGGATCGGGCATCGTATCGTGGAACGAACGAAACGATCGGACGTCTTTCGGTCCGTCGCCGATGGTACGATACTTTTTCACGCGATCGTTAAACGTGCCCGACCAATGGTACTTTTGCGCTTTCTTTTTCCCAACGATGGACCATTTGAATCGTGGCACGGAATTAGGCACGGTCCGATTTGCGTTGAAACGATTCCTCGCTGAAACGCGCTCGACGCTCGATGCTCTTTCGTTTCGACGGTCAACGGTGAACGACTCGCGATCGGAATCGTGGCTCGAGCTAGCGTCGCTTTCGCGTTCCACCATCTCGTCCTTCCAAGGAGACGCGAACGAAGCTTTACTGGTCACGTGGACGGTCTCCTTTACGACGGGCCACGCGTCATCGTCCGATGCAATCTCGACATCGTCCTTCCTCGCCGCGGCTATAGCACTCAACGTACTCGAGCTCGTCGTAGTAGTCGTCGTCCTCGTCCCGGCGTCCTCTCCCTTCCGTTTAAACGGCTCGCTTGCGTATGCCTTATCTTTACCGCGCGAATCTGTTGCAAAATTTCATACACACAATGATGCACGCTTCCTACCCTAACCCGCCCCCTTCTTGCTATTCGGTTCGCCGTCGTATCATCGAGTTCCGTCTTTCGTTCGCGAGTTACGATCGTCGCGCGCGCTTTGCAACGAACAAGAGGCAGAGAGCGAAAGTATCGCGTCCGACACGCGAGAGAATTAGAATCGCGACGCCATTCGATCGGAGCAACCGTTGCGAAATCGGAGAGTAGAAGAAGAAGAAAAAGAAAAAGAGGTAGAGAGAAGAAAAGAAGAGGTAGAAATCGCTTGCACGCGTCGAAGAAAGAAACTAAACGGTTACGTGGCATGCATGCGAATAGAGGGGTAAAAGTTTCGTGCCGGATCTAGTCGAAAGTTACGAGATTCTCGAAGCGGGAACGAAACAAGGAAACAAGAAGCACACGTTTCTCCGTAGGTGCGCGTTCGCGCATACGCTAAGCGGAAAGAGTCGCTTGCCAACAAACGATGTATACGTACATGCGCGCGTATACGCGTTCGTGCACGAGATACCTCGAAAGGGACGCGCGATCCCGAAAACCGTAAGTTCTCCGAACGCGATGCGGAGAATTCGCGGTTTTAAAATCGTACGATCTTTCGGGGACACCGCGTACACGCGTATACGTCCGTCCGCCTTACCTTCTTGGTCGTAATCTACTTCGTGCGTCGCGCTGAACACGCTGTGCGCGTCGTTCAGGAATCTGGTCGTATTATCCATGACCATCTTGTGCGTGTCCAGAACTTCTTCTTCCAACATTTGCAACGCGGATACTGCCTCGTGGAAAGTGTAAAGATCTTGCGAAATCTCACCCTCCTAGCGTGAAACGGACAACTAGGTAAATCGTGTAAAATGGAAGAGAAAGGGAAAGCAACGTAGAACTTACGTTCAACGATCGAAGTTGCGCCAAATCGCTGTCCGACAAAACGCTGTTGTTCGATTGCTCTTCGATCTTTAATCCTCGGTCGTCGTCCGTCGGCGAAACCTTCGCTTCCGTTGGATCGGTCGCGGCTAATTCCTTCACTCGATCCGCGTATCTCAGAGTGTTGAGCGAGTGCTCGCACGAACTCATTCCCGGACTAATCATCGCGATCTGTAAACACGGTAACGTTCTTTTCATCCGCGTTGCATAACGCGACCAGTGAAACCTAACGACGATAGATTACCATGCACGTTTTCGATTTTTCACCGATGAAACTGTCCCTCAGCACTTGAGTCAACTTGCTCGCCCTGAAAGGTAGATGAGTTCCCTTTCGACTCAACGCGCGAATGCATTCCTTTAAAGCTAACAGCGATTTGTTGATTTCGGCTCCTTCCATCCCTGCGAACAGCGAACAATCACGTTTACGAGACGGATACGATCCGGAATAGGCGGAAATCGCGCAAAACTCACGAGTTTGTCTATTGGCGGACGACGTGTCCGCTCCCCTCTCGTTGCCCGCGAGATCGATCAGAGAGAATTTTCCGTGGACCTTGTGCGTTCCCGGGGTTCGGGCTATAATCTGAAATACCGCGTGCGATCGCGAAGAATTGGAATTCGCGCTCGTTTGCCCGCTCGTTCTGGCACTGTTTCCGTGTTGTATCAGCTTCAGTACTTCGTCGCAAGTTTCGACCACCTTCTCCGTTAATCCGACTATTTGCACCTACAACGACGACACCGATTACGATGACGAACCAGCTAGAACGAGCGCGCGAGACGTACCTGCTGTTTACCGTCTTCCAATACTCTCAGCTTCTCCTTGTCCGCCAGAAGATCGAACACCTTACCGGAGTATATTTCGAAGAAGCTGGCAGAGATGATCAAATTCAACGGGCGATACTTGGCCAACTTGAGACACTTGAACACGTCTTTGGCGACCATCGCGTATATACCCTTCTTGCAGTCTTGCGTTTTCCCGTTGAAATCTCCGCCCATCGTGTGCGTTTTGCCGCTGCCGGTCTGACCGTACGCGAAACACGTGGCCATTCCGCCTTCGAAGATGGTCTGGACCAAAGGTTTCGCGGTGTATTTGTAGACGATTTCGTTGTTACAGGTCTCGTCGAACGCGTAATCGAATCGAAATATTTGGTTCTCCAAGTATTTGGTTAAATCGACTTTCGCCTTTGGCTCGTGAACAATCATCTGATCCTTGCTTGGCACGCTGATTACGTCGACTTCCTTTCGCGCTACCTCCTTCTTGTTCAGCGGACGTTTTCTAACGCATACGGTGATCTGGTGGTCTTCCACGGCGTCCGTTTCTCGAAGGGGTCTAAACTCGATGCTGTTTTGGTATTCTCTGGAGCACGGAAAAAGAACGACGAGTAAGTCGACGTTCGAACGATCGATTCGAAGACGAAACGATGGATACCTACCTTATCATAGCGAGAAATTCCCAATTTGGATTTCCTGGATCCAAATTCATGAGAGCCTCTTTCTCCTCCTTCAGTTCCGCTTGCCTCTGTCTCCTCTCCTCTCTGTTCTTCTTCAACCTTTCCACTTCCTTGACGACGTTCGATCGTCTACTTCGGCCATTCTCGACTTGGGCCTGTTGCTGCTGCGTTTGCTGCTGTTGTTGCTGCTGCTGTTGTTGTTGCTGCTGCTGCTGCGACTGCAGCTGCTGCTGTTGTTTCTGCTTAATCGAGGTTGTTACGGTCACGTTGTAGGGGCCCGTCTGCGCGGTGGGCGTCGGAGGTATGTTCTCGAGTTCTCGACGGCTGGTTAGTCCTGTCACGGAATCACCGTGTCCGTTGACGGTGGTAGCCGGCGGTATTATGTTGGTGGGGCGGCCCGTTTGCCGCGACAATTGCCGGTTGGAACCCGCTGCAAACGACACGCGTCAATCGGGAGATTTCCGACGTTTCTTTAAGCTCTAGCGACGATAACGTGGGAGAACGAAGAGCCGATTTCGATACGATTCGCGTGGTTACCGTGTACGATCTGCTCGGAGAATGGTCGAAGGTTCGGGTGTTGCGTCGCGTTTCCGTGGTCGACATCGTTTATCTTGTTTTTCCTTCCGAAACAGTGGCTAAACGGATCGAACCTCATGGTTCGAGAAACTCGCACGGGCTCACCGGTTCTTGTCCGATCGATTTCGAGCAAGGCGAAAGCGCGAGACGGATAACGGACAGCGGAAACAAACAAGGTTGGCACGCGGAAAAAACCGTGGCGAGTATGCGCGCGACGCGGGTCAGAGCGTCGTACTAGGAAAATGCATCGTCCGTCGAGGTCCTTGCCCTTGTGCCATCGCGTACGACGGCGCATGGCGCAGGAGCGTCGACGACGCGACGGTCAGCGTCGGTCAGCTTGCACGCTAGCACGCCGTGTTCCAACGACGTACGAACGATATCCGCGCACACCTTCGCCTCTTGGAAAATCGATTTATTCCACGTTCGCGTACGTGGCCGCGAAACGTCCCACGCGAATCGTAGTCGATTACCGGTACACGTTTCTTTTGTCCGACCAAGTTACACGGCAGAGGCGTAGGAACGCGGCATTTTATCTCGAATACGACGTACCTTTTACCGGGATCGATGGCTTTGTCGAATGCTGCAAAAAGAAACAGAGAAAACGTATTTTAACGATCGTTCGAAAGAACAATGCAGGAAAAGAAAACGAATATACGACGTGAATCACGATACACGAGTTGCGAATACCGCGCGACAGTGCGAAAAAAATAAAGCAAATGAAACGTTCCGTTCGTCGTCCGCGAAATTCGAAACAACGTTGTTCCGAACAAAATAAAAGGATCTTTGCGGAAAACAGAAAAACGAAAAGCGGCAATGGCGTGACGCGTGATGGACACGAAAGCAGAGAACTGCGTCGCTAAAACGACGACGACGACGACGATGAGCGTGCAACGAGGGCCAAAAGGACGACGAATAGATCTCGGAACGGACGAACAAGGTTTCGCGACACAAGTGGACGATCCGAGCGCGATCGATGGATGGAACGTGGTGAAGTGGCAGGAAATAGCTAGGAGTCGGAAAACAGGAAGGGAGAGGAAGAAAGATACAGGATCGAGGTTTACCGAAAGAGCAGAAACGACTCGTACAGGAAGCGTTGCGGATGCAAGGCCGTTTCTTGCGGCGTGACCGGTGTGCCCGCCGTGTCGTCCAAGGGAGCCCTCCTCTTGGTTCTCCGACTCGTCCACCCCCTCGTCCTCTTCGCCCGACGAGTCCTACGTTTCCGTTCGTTTGCGCGCGCGAGCGCCCTAACGCGAAGGGACTCGCGAGATCGCTCGAACCGTCGGGATCGGTTCGGTAGCGAAAAGCGATACGAGGGCGACGCGACGGTCAGCGTCGGTCAGCTTGCACGCTAGCACGCCGTGTTCCAACGACGTACGAACGATATCCGCGCACACCTTCGCCTCTTGGAAAATCGATTTATTCCACGTTCGCGTACGTGGCCGCGAAACGTCCCACGCGAATCGTAGTCGATTACCGGTACACGTTTCTTTTGTCCGACCAAGTTACACGGCAGAGGCGTAGGAACGCGGCATTTTATCTCGAATACGACGTACCTTTTACCGGGATCGATGGCTTTGTCGAATGCTGCAAAAAGAAACAGAGAAAACGTATTTTAACGATCGTTCGAAAGAACAATGCAGGAAAAGAAAACGAATATACGACGTGAATCACGATACACGAGTTGCGAATACCGCGCGACAGTGCGAAAAAAATAAAGCAAATGAAACGTTCCGTTCGTCGTCCGCGAAATTCGAAACAACGTTGTTCCGAACAAAATAAAAGGATCTTTGCGGAAAACAGAAAAACGAAAAGCGGCAATGGCGTGACGCGTGATGGACACGAAAGCAGAGAACTGCGTCGCTAAAACGACGACGACGACGACGATGAGCGTGCAACGAGGGCCAAAAGGACGACGAATAGATCTCGGAACGGACGAACAAGGTTTCGCGACACAAGTGGACGATCCGAGCGCGATCGATGGATGGAACGTGGTGAAGTGGCAGGAAATAGCTAGGAGTCGGAAAACAGGAAGGGAGAGGAAGAAAGATACAGGATCGAGGTTTACCGAAAGAGCAGAAACGACTCGTACAGGAAGCGTTGCGGATGCAAGGCCGTTTCTTGCGGCGTGACCGGTGTGCCCGCCGTGTCGTCCAAGGGAGCCCTCCTCTTGGTTCTCCGACTCGTCCACCCCCTCGTCCTCTTCGCCCGACGAGTCCTACGTTTCCGTTCGTTTGCGCGCGCGAGCGCCCTAACGCGAAGGGACTCGCGAGATCGCTCGAACCGTCGGGATCGGTTCGGTAGCGAAAAGCGATACGAGGGGTTCCGCGTTAACGAGGGGATCGACGAGCGAGTAGCGTCGGTCGTCGGATATCGCGACGACGAGAAGAAGATGCGAAGAGACGTATCGGGATTCGATCGGTATCGGACGGGAGCCCGAGGTCGGTCGTCGAGGATCCATGGTCGAGAGCCAAGTCCGAGATAACGAGCAGCGTCCATGAAGGAAAAAAGATGCGATCGTGTTAGTAACGGGAACGATGAAGCGACGTTGGTCGTCGATGCTCGATCGATATTAACTTTCGAAGACCGAGCGGATGACAGGATCACGCGACGACGATTTATCGCATCGGTGTACGATACGGTGGTGATCAGCGAGCGAAGCTTTTTACCTAGGTCGCGAATATTCGTGTCGCGTTCGGTCGGAGCAACGGTGAGTGTCGTTGCTCCGATTATGCGTTTTCGTTCCTTTCGAGCGCCGCGACGATACGTACCCTTGCTCTAGAGGAAATTAGAACGTGGTTGTTCATCGGAGCTGGTGGTCCCATCGTTTTCTGATTCGTCAGGTCCGGGTTCAGGGCAAGAATCGCGTCGATCTCCACCTGGAAGCCAAACGGGAAACGGTTACTCGCGCGATCCTTCGATTCGCGCGATTCTCAAAGATCTTACCTCTTTTCCTTTGGTCTCTCCTCTCTCGAACCATTCTACGGTGACTGTGCGTTGTTCCCAGTTAACGCCGGAAACCACCGCAGAGTGGACGCGACCTGAAAGAAACGCCACGCGTTATCCCACCAACCTTCGCATTATTCCGCGTCGATCTTGCTCGAAGACGATTAACGATTTCTCCTTTTTCGCTGCAAGAATAATACCGACGTTCCTCCTTTTCTCCTATATGATCGGAATTCTAGAGGAGTATAACTAATTCTAATGCTTAATTGCAAGACGGCTGGAAGTAATTTTCAAGTACTTTCTGACGCTTCGTTCGCGGGTAATTATAACTTATCGAATATTACTCTTCGAGATTTGAAAAACCACTTGGTTTTTTCCTTTACTCGACGCGTTACGAAGAGAAGTTCTCACGTCGCTGTTCAAGGGGGCAACGTATACGGAGAAAGAAAAGGCACGTAGACGGTACGATAACTGCAGGGATGTCTAGCATAAATTGACCTTTGATCGAATCGCGTGGGATAGAGCGACAAGCAGGGCACGGATCGAAAAGTTAACGCGTTCGGCGCCGCTGCGTCCAGCTGCCATTTAAACGAGTTCGAAAAGTTTTGTGTCGAAAACGGATCGTCCGTCGGAGACGTCGAGTTGCGACGCACATGGTCCGTTGGCGACCGCGAACGAGGAATCGCAAAGAAACGTGTTTGCGGATGACGTAAGAGCGAATAAAAGGTAAGGTTTGGCGAGGTAAGAATCTCGCGACGAGCCTCCTTATAAGGACGCAGCGCCCACGTGCGAGTCCCTGCACGTCGCGTCGCGATCGCGTGCCACGCTCGGCTTTCGATTTCGGGCAAGGTCTTTCGTCGACGCGCGACGACCGTCGGACAAAATCGGAAGAATCGAAATTCGGTAAAGCGCTTGTGGTCGTCGGCGAGGTTCGAAGAAGTCGCGACGCGGCGCGTGTCGGCCACTTGTTGCGTTCCGTGGCCGAGCGACCGAAACGCGTCACGACGCACTCCGTTCCGATCGAAACGATCTCGTCATCGATTTTCTCTCGCGAACCGGATCGACCTCGCGACGCAACGAGAGCGAGCGCGGAGTTCGTCGATGACGATGTCACGGTAATTGGGAGAAGATGCGGGGTATCGAGGATAATCGGATTCCGTTCGGTAATCGGCCTACGTCGTGGAACGCGCGGAGCAACGTCGACAAGGGACGCTCGAACATCCGTACTCGCGGTACGCCTATTTATATGGCCGGCTGCAGCAGGCTATAAATATTATTAGCGCGTTCGAGATCGGGTTAGCGATCCGCTTTCTTCCCGCGAGCATGCAGCCGCTTTTCCAACGACGCACCGACCGACTGGCCCGCGGTCGACGCGTTTCGCATTTTGCGTTTTTCCCGATCGATCGCAACCTCGAAGCGGGATTACGAGCACCGGTGCGGCGCGGTGCGGCATCCACCTCTGACCGGTTGTCGGCTAGTTCTCGTGGCCTTTCCTTTCTCGGCGACTGCTCTGAGTCACGAGTTTCAACGAGAATTCGCGGTCGTTCGCTGAAAACGACGATCGTCGTTGGCGGGGTTCTTTCCGATTCGAAAACGTGTACGCCGTATACGCTTTGCTTCGAATATCGGACGACGAAAAGATCACGTTTCGCGCGTAACATTTGGAGCGCGTAAGAGGAACGAGATTAATGATTCGAAGACGATGGTTGCAACGACGGCGACGGCGTGATTTTCTTCCTATTTCGGTTGCACGCGTTACGAATAAAGTTTAGTCGGTGAAAGGATATCCGTTGCTCCGTCGACGCGTTCGACGGTACCGAATTTTTCAGGAAACGATACGTAAACCGAAAAAAGAAAGAAAGAAGGAAAATGGCGTGAACACGTTCGCGGTCGAAGCGCAAGGGCGAGTACTCTCAAACGGGCGCTGCAGGTGTACGCGAACCGTCACTGGTCGACGATTATCGCGTTTATCGCTATGCTCCCCAACTCCGATAGTCACCAATATCGAGAATCGTGAACGTGCGCGTAATTTGCGGAGAGGTCGATCGGTGGATCGACCGGTCGCTTTATTCGAGTACGAAAAACGTTTTGAAAACGCGAACAATCGCTGGTCGCGTCGAGGTTAGGTTGTCTCGGTTCGCGAACGCGTTTCACGACAGGTAAGAGCGATCTGTCGCGATGAAAAGGAAAACGGGCCGACTTCGGGAGTACGCGATTCGTAAAAAAATTCGAGGAAGAAGGTGACCAGATGGTCGAAGCGATACCGAACGACGACGTACACGCCGTATCGTCGTGGTCGTTCTCGATCGACGTCGATCGTTGCTGGCACCGAGCCACCTTCCGAGAAGAAACCTTCGACCGATCGACCGTTGAAAAACGCCTAAAAATACGTTGGCTCGATCATCGCGTTACTCACCGTCCGTCCTCTTGATATTTATGCTGTAGCCGGTCTCGATGTTGCATGTGCCGTGGTCCATGGTCATTTAGTCGCGTTTTCGCGCCGTAGCCAGCACCGTGAAGCAGCCGGTTCTTCACCGGGTCGACCGACGACGATATCGTGATTAACGCGACGAAAATTGAACGATTCGAACGAGAAGCCTTACTCACGGGAGGGCCCGCGTTCGCGAGACTTCGGAATCCGACCGTTGACAGTTACAAGCAGCGTCCGCGTTCAAAATCACGCGGCGGTGCGTTCGTTTTCCCCGCCG